TCATTCCATAGTGAGCAAAACAAAATCCTGTGCTTGCCCCCACCTAGTGAAGTGTCCAGTCCAAGACATTTATCATACATGTGTAATTTCAATAGAGATAAATGTTTTTAGGGAAAAGGCAATAATCAGGAAAGGCTTCCTGAGGAACTGAACTTTGAACTGAGTCCCTAAGTGGGAAATGAACTCCTGGGATAACGTTCAGGGCAAATAGAGGCAGAAGGGATGTTTCAAGGGAATAACACTAAATTATGACTTTTAAATTGCATATTAATTAATTTAATGGTTATATGAATGATTCATAGAAAGAACATGCAGTGGGAGGTCAGAAATGTGGAGATTCTAAGTGCAGGAGAACTAACTCCCACTCTCCTACACCGCCAGGCCCCTGTGCCTGAACACACACATAAAAGGGACCCCCACAGGCAGCAAGTATTAACGATCTCTATTTGTACTAACAATATGAGTAAGATCAAGCATAAATGATGCCCTGTCATATTTACTGGGGCCTTGGGTTTTAGAGAGAAGCCAGCTTCTGTGGTTGTGTGCTTGGAAGGCAGTAAATTCAAAATAAAACTGATAGACTTCTAGTTTTTGCTCTGGCACTGAAGAAGCTCAGAACTGAACACCATTCTAACAAATGAAGGATAAACAAATTGAAAAACCATCAAAGCTTTTTTGAAATAAGGTCAGCGAACAAATGCTTCCCCCAATAGGGAGAGATCAGAACTTGGTGCCAGCCAGTATGTGTGGAAATCCTGAACTGGAATAGGTGACTGACTGGAGCCTCAGCGTGGACAACTCTGAAAATTAACAATTCCATGCAGGCTCAGTCACCAGGGTGGGAGGGGGACACTTTTGTGAGTTTTACCTCCTGTGTCAGTTTACCACCAGATCTACCAGAGAGATGTCCTCTTAGGATTTTTTTGCAAGGGGAGGGGAAAAACATTTTTTATATACTCAAAGTTACAATTACTATGGTCAGCTGTGGTCAGAACACCTGCAAATGCCCTGGCTTTACTCCTGTATTCACCTGGCTCAGTGCAAGACTTATTGACTTGGATTCTTTCATGGCCTTGGACCTCAAGATTCATTTCCATTTATTTCACTGTAAAAGACTGAATACTTAAAATATCATTTTGAAATACAAAATATATCTTTTCCCATTATGTTTCTAATATAGTGCCAATTATTATATGCCATCCAAGGCCTTTTATTTTCTGTCTCCAATTTCACTCATTCTCTTATGTATGGATCCATCAATTTTGAACAAAATTGCATGGAGAAGAGCACAGCATCACTTGTGTGGTTAATATTCTATCACTTGTGTGGTTAATTTCTAATGTGTTTTTAATGAAATTATGGAAATCTCACTCAATAAGAACATGTTTTGCTTTTCCTAAAACCTTGAGTTGCGATTTGAGAAATGAAAATAAATTTTGACTGTAAGATTTTAACTTAAGCTAACTAAACTTCACGTCAATTTCAAGGAACTCAAGGTTTGATTAAAATACATATTCCCGTTGATTAAAGCTACCCTTTGATTTATTCTACTTGCTCAGTTGTTTGCTTAACATGTGTACACACGTGCACACACGTGCACACACATGCTCACACACACAATCATTGAAACAGATCAGATGATGGGTCATTTTATTCCCTTTGGTGTAAATGTTTGAGGTGGCTTGATGATATCCTCATCATATAACAGGGTCCTGAACAAGAAAGTGATAATCTTGGCATTCAGCCCATGTTTTCTTCCAGTTTTTTACTGCCTATAAGATTTCTGCTCCTTAACAAACCCTGCACCTCCCCTCCCCCACCCCCAATCCTGGGCAGTGCATTTAACAGATGGCCTTGTTATACAATCATGTTTAAAAGGATTAGTCTCGATCATTGAATTTTAAGGATTCCTGACTATCACAGCTGTTTCTTCTCTGAAATGCTTTCACTCAAATAATGTATACAATAGACTCCGGTCAATCCTAGTTTTCCAGTGAGTACCAAGATAGAAACCTGAACACATCTATATTTTGAATAACAGAAAGAATTTTGGTGCCAGAAATGAAAATATTTATGACTCCTACTTATGTATGTGTGCCAATGACAATATTTGCTCTTAAGAAGCCTAAAAATATACTGAGTAGTTAAACTAGATGTTTGGAAAATTACTCTAAACATGATGTCTATGAAAGAAATATAAAAGTTATATTTCTGTAACTTCTCCCCATTATACTCTGGTCCACTAGCTAAAAATCCAGAGTCATATTTAAAACGTCACCTCTTCTATACTCGCCCCAATTCCTCTAATTGCATCACAGCCAGTTATTACCAAATTCTATTTTTCATTCATGTTATTTTGTCAGTTCCTTTCTTGTGATTCCTATTGTTCTCACCTTCATTGGGTCTAATTTATATGAAATAAATACTTTTAAATGGCACAGGGGCTAATCAGAATAAGAATTTTCCATTCCTGGTTCCCAGTAAATCACAGTTGTAAGAAATGGGAGAAGTCCCTTGTGTCTCATCTTCCACTATCTCTTCCCAGAGATAGGGAGCATTTGTATACAAAGCACAGTGAGAAGCAGGAGAAGAGGAGGCTTTACATCATAGCAAGGCCTCTGGCATTAGGGAAAATTTCTAGTGAGGGACCAGCAAAAAGATTTTATTAATAGTTCTCAAACCAGCACAGCCTCTAAGAACCATGGCCTTACCCTTATATTTCAATTTTCAGGGTTAGAGAAAGCAAAGTCATCCTGGGAATGAAGCTTGGGACCATGGAGATTGAGTGAGGTAAAGAAAATAATGAAAACTAGATTGCATAAGAAAAAATACCTCTGAAATACCTTTGAAAACTTGATAGAAGAGTTGCCATTTATTAACCATGCTTTTGATAATATCATTTCGGTTTCAACATACCACATGATTTTAGATAAACAATCTCAATATATTATCACTTAATTTTACAGAGAATGAATTAAAGTTTAGATAGGATCAGGAATGTTCTCTTTTATGTGCAAGCCTCTCTTTCTCCTACCCCCCTCCAGCCCCTCACCACATCCCTATCTTTACCCAGCTTGGACAATTGTTTATCTAAAATAATTGTTTATCTTAAATAGCAACCCATGAAGACTGAACCTTAATAGGTGCTGGAGTAACAAGGTATGTAGGTGGAAATGAGCAATGGTGAAAAGAATAATGTAGGTGGACACATCTAAGAGTAATCTCAGAAATCAAAATGAATTTTATGACTCACCCTTACATATTTTGGGAAAGTATCATATAAGAGATCTAGATATTTTTATTATTTAAAATTAAAATATTCACCATTGTTGATTAAACTAGTATTATATAATCTAAGAAAATAAATTTAACTAGATGCTCTTGAAATTTCCAGAGGTAGGAAGCATTTGTATATACTATACAGGTGTCCCCCAATTTTCAAAAGTTAGCAATTGACAGAAGCCCCAAATCAATATGTGCTTATGCTAACCAAAAGACATCTGAAGATATTTTTACTTTAACAATAAAAGGCAAAAATAATCCCCAATGCAATCAGCACCCGCCAAAATGCAATCAGCCTTTTCTTTGCAGCAGTTGTTCTAGAAAGAGTAACCCAAGCAGCAAGTTTCTTGGTCCACTCATTTTTATTTCTGTAAGCATAAACTACTCTAAAAATAATGCCTATTAATTTAAAAATATTCATAAAACAAAAATACCCAGAAATGTGTGAGTTCTTAAAAGATGTAACTCAAAATAAAAATAGAATGGCCCACGTTATTCCCCTTTCCATGGAGTTGTTTTATGTAGGTTGTGGATTTGTCAAATCATTTCTGCTTTTACTCTGCTATATAATATTTTAGATTTTAGGTGCTGTTTGGTAAGTTGATATGATTTGGTAGGTTATTTTGGGAGTCTAGGTATACTCAAAACTCCTTTCTGAATAAATTAATGCAAATTTCTTTTTCTCTTTATACCATCTCGACTCACCAATGGCTTCATTAGCAGCACTAATTTTTAGTTATGGGGGAAACCAGTAATACAATATTTTCGTTGGGCCCACTACAAAGTCTGTGTTACTGCCATCAAAGATTTCCAGCAAATTTATAAGACTATGTTGTGGTCTCCTTTTTTGCTTAATCCCAGAGGAGGCAAAAAACCAAAGGATTGAAATCAGTGATATGTATGTAGGTGGTGATTAATGGAATGCAGCCCCTCTACAAATGGAAAATACCCAATTAAGAGAGAGTTGATGGAAAGGGACATGGTCTTAATAAATAGTGGAAGCTGTCAGGTAACTATTAGTGATTTCTAAATATCTATTGAAGGCATCCTAAAACAACAACATAAAACTAAAACCAACTCCAATATTCTTCATTAAATACCTTGATTATGGAAACAATTCTGTAAAATAAATCTACATTTTTGTACATCATGCACAAAACATGAATTATGGGAATCAAAATAGTTTATAATTCCTATCAAGAGCCAGGTCTACTTCCTTCACTTTAAAATATTCAATCTTTGGAAAACCCAAAATATGCCTGGAAAATATTTACCTTCAAAAAAAAGTAAACTTTTTAACAGGATTATTAAGTTTTTACATTAATTAATAGGAACTATGAGCTCAAAAAGGAACTACAGGATTAATTAAAATAAATTGCTCTAAGATATCTGATTCAAGCTATCTTTGTCAATCTAAATTACCAAGGGGTTTCAAGTGAAAACATTTGTTGCAAATTTGACAAATTTTATGTATAATAATACAGTTTTGAAAATTATTTTGTCTTTCTACTATGGCTCTTGTCAGGAACGGCAGTGTTTTCTCTGTCTGCCTTCAAATTCTTTTGAAAATCATTCTGGCATTACAAAATAAAAACCTGTGTCATGGTTAAGCTTGGCCTTTGCCTTTATGAGAGAACCACTTACACACGATGCATTTTCCAGAGAAAGGACTCTTTTTAGGAAGTGACTCTCCCCTGGGAAAATAAAGAAAACCTTACCTGGGTAATCATTCTTGTCTATGTCTGAATCTCCTCTTAAAGTAAAGCCAAATCCAGAAGGGACAGTCTGTGAGGCCCACACTCCTTGCAAAATTTGGGAAGGCTTGGTGTTTAAGCCGTCCTTGTTCCCATTATAAATGAGCACTTTGCCCCTTTGATCCTTGCCAGCAAAAGGTGCACCAATGGCTATATCTACAAATAGAGAGATGTAAACACATGTTTAAGAGGAAGAATGTTTTAAAAATCAATTCATGTACAATCAAGAAAAGTATTATGGCATCCATCGGGCGTTCGCATGAAAATTTCACACTGCTGCAGTAAATTATTTGTTGTCTGCTATCTATCCAATAAATATTTATTGAGCTCCTACTGTGTGTTGAATGCAGTGGGGACAAGAGTGAATTAGATGTTGCTTTTAGAGAATTTATAGTCTAACACAGCTAATAGACAATTTGGACATTGAAATAATGAAGATGGAAAGTAACATAATATTATTTTGGAAATCAAAAATATCAGTATGACAGAGTGATTGGATTGTTATTTTAGATTATTGGGTCAGATTAGATGTCTCTACCACTGATATTTAACTGACATGAAGGAAAGGAACATGTGAAAGCAGAGGGAAGAGATGGCCAGGCAGAAGGAACCTCTCTGCTAAGGCCTAGAAGAAAAAGGAACTTAAAATTTTGGGGGAGCAGACAAGAATGTTCTACAAGGGAACTTTGTGCATGATGGGGAGCAGGGTCAGATCATCACACTGGGTCGACCAGGTAGACATCTTTAAGGGCACATGAGAGTTTCTCAATAAAAGAAAACCCAAGTTCTTTTACAAAGATTGTATCATTTGGGATAATGAGATTGACAGTTGAGGCCACTAGGAAATCTAGAGAGAAGCCTGTTGCCTGATCCCCACTTTAATGCAGCATTGAATAAAAATCAACCCCATAGAGAGTTTTTTTTTCAGGGTGGTTCTAAACAATAACCATAAAGACAAGTGTCCCCGCTTTTTGAAAGTTCATGTTATGCTATTTCATTCTCATGAAGATCCACGTTAGTACTGGTTTTCACTAATACCCAGAAAACTTCCATGTTTATGACAAAGGTGAAAAACAAACAAACAAAAAAAAAGAGCTTTAATTCAGTGTTGTTTTTGAGTAGAAACTGTAGAAGCAGCAGATGCATGAGCAGTGAAAGTGCATTAGTTGAAACACATTTTAATCACCTTGATTAATTTTAATTTTGATAGTTGAATCAAAGCCAATGATATGTGCTACATTACACACATTTAAACGTACTCTTAGGACCCTCCCTAGTGGCACGATGGGTTAAAGTACCGCATTATGAAGCTCTCTGAAGCCACTACAGCATGAGTTCGATCCCAGCCCCAGAGCTGACCCACATGGCACATCAGAACTCTCCTGACCAACCCGCTGCTCCCCTCAGCAGTGTACTTTGTTGATCAGCCTGTTCTGCTCCCCATTCTGTCACTGGGGAATCCTCTCACCCACCACAACTCTGGCCTGTACCCCAGTTCTGTAAGCATGGATAAATAAATCTTTTTTAAAAAGTACTTTTAAATATTGTTCCCTTTATGCAACAGTACAGGAAACAAGGACACCTAAGTGCATTCCAAACACTGGTGTAAATTACCATTGTATCCGTCTTGGTTCAGGTCTCCTAAGTGTGCCACAGCACTACCGAATCTGCCGAAAACCTCGGTCCCTGTGAGGACCTGCGGGTCTCTGAAGGTGAGCGGTCTCACTTGCAAGTACAGGTGAACTTGTCCTACTTCTCTAGGGTTACTCTCAAATTCACGTTCCATAAAGAGAGGGGCCCCAATCAATATGTCATCCATTCTGTGGGGAAGAAAGAGAGGTCAGTGCTCTGGCAGACACGAGATTCTTCTTGGTACATTTTTTTTTATGATTAAAAAAATTATATTTTTTACATTATTCTTCATTTTGTACATTCTTCATCTCAGTTGTAATCCTCGTGGACATGGTTTCACTTGGTAATTTTTTTTTTTTAAAGAACAAAATTCTCTTGAAAATTTTATTAACATGTAATAAAAATAGATCATTCAACTCCTTCAGTCTTTATGAAATTTTTGTTTTAAAGATGAAACTTTTCTCACAAGTACTCATGTAAACCAATCAGACACAAATAAGCTTTATAATGAACCTCTCAAACACATCTTTTACTATCTATCTTTTTTAGGAGGATGACATCCACATTACTGTCACAGAATTTTCTTTTTAGTCAAGCTTCAAGATTAAGTCATGCACAAATCTTAATTACTTTTTATTACTCTGCTGAGGCAAGATAGAAACATGATACTTCAATATTATTTTTCTATTCCTATGAACTATTTTACAGCAAAAGCTATTTGGTACTAAGTATTCTTATGCTCAAATTCTAAGCGTACTCCATTGACCTTGGTATTCCAAGATTAAAAAAAAAATGTTTAATATTATTTACATAAATAAATACAACTTTAATCTCTAAGTTCTTCCTCATCACTGAAATATGTACTTTTCTTTATCCTCGGGAGTCTTGAATCATCTGATGTTGAGGGACCCCCCTGAACTGGGTTTCCACTTACTTTGTTCAATTTTGGCTTGCTGGAAAGCTATGGCCTGACTGAGACGGTCAAAGGCAAAATCTTCTCCTTCATCGTCACTTTCTTTTATTCCTTCTATTTCTTCTTCTGGTTCAGGAATTTTCTTTTCTTCTTTTTCTCTTTATTTTTTGGAGGTTCATGTTCTCCAAGCATATTTTTAGGACAGGCATAACTTAGGAGTCCACTTTCCCCGCATTCATAGCACTTAGATTTATCGAAGTAGTTTCGCCTTCGGATGAACTCAGCTGCTCTTCATTGTCAATAGCAATGCTGGCTTTTATCACTCTACCGAATAACTGCTTGCTGTTTATGGCCCTTGTGCAGCTTTGTTCAGAGTCTTTGTCCAAAAACAAAATGAATGCAACCCCTTTACTCTTCCTGGTATCTTTATCTTTCATTATAGTAACCCTTTACAACCTCGCCATACTTGGGACCTTGTAGAAGACCACGAGGGAGCGAGCGCTGGGCTCCGGGGGGGGGGACTCAGGGCAGGCTCCTCGCCACTCTCCCCCCCCCCTCCCATGGCCCCCCGGCCTCAAGGGTCCTGGGAGGTGTCAGGTACTGCGGAACAGACCCTCCCAGGGCAGCGTCTCTAACTGGCTCCAGTGAGACGCGGGCCTCTTGGTACATTTTTAATCCATTAGATTTCTACAGTTCCACTCGTATTTTTGCTTCTGCAAGAGACATTTTACAATCATCATATTTCTTTTATTGCTTTATTATGTCTATGGAATATAATGCTGTAAGAAAATAGGAATTGTTAAATCATCACATTGCATTTTTTAGCTACCTCAAAAATAACTTCTTTAAGAAAACCACAGCTATTTTACTCTTTTCAGCTTTAGTTTATTTCCAGAAACTGTAGTCATACCAGTAAAGGAAAAGACCTAAGGAGATTTGCCTAAAAATGGATTCGTTTTCACACAACTTATGCAACTATATGTTTTAATTATAATGTTTTCTTGTAGTCAGAAGATTTAAAATAAATTTCATTCCCCACTCTTTCCTCTTGTTCCATCAATGTAAATGAAACAGTAGCTAGATAATGTTTTAGTACTGGCTAAAAAAATCAGAAAACAAAAATCTCACCCCACATGAGTATTTATCATAATTTTTAAATATATATATATCATAGAAGGAAAGTAATCAGTATTTAAGGTTAAAAAAATTCAAGAAGCAGGCACCTCAGCTAATTACTTAGAGCTGGAGGCAAACCTCCAAGATAACCAAAGACAGAAGTGGTAAGAGGTGTTTCCTTTATATAGGCAGATGGGCATGAAGAATAACAGGACAGCATTTTCGAATTCATGTGATAGTTTTAAATATGTTCATATCTTGGTCTCTCTCCAGATGTGCACATATAGACATGCACAAGACTTTCATAAATAAACAGGGATCAAGAGGCATTGGGTTAGCCATGGAAGGGAATGTGTGATATTTTTTACATTGTAGCAATGCAAACAAAGAGAGTTCCTATTTATGAAGCGAAATAGGTTCCCTATTCCCTCTCCCACTGTGTAGGAACCAGAAACAAAAGTAAAATCTAATTTGGGAGTAGTCTGGGATCTCCAGCTACTTCTACCACAGCTGAGACAGAACACTTGGATTCAATTGCCTTGGTGGGTGATTTGACTGACCTGTAATAAGGAAGTGGGGAACTGGGAGAACAGCTATTATTTTACTTTCAAATTCTAAAATTTAGTTGGGTCACTGTACTTAGGTAAAACAATTTAACAATGTTCCAAATACATCTACTAAAAAATTGCCATTGCTTCTTACACTATGCATATATATTGTTTAGGTTGGCTTCTTAAAATCTTGATTTGCAAGCCATTAGGGAACTGTGAAAGCAATTTAATTGGTCCTGACTGGGTTCCAGACTGACTGGAGAGCAGATTCAGGGCAAATTCCAGTCCTTCCCTTTCCTCCCAAGGAACCTGGTTGTTTTGCTGTTATTATAGTCAGTGTGAAGAGGCATTTATTAAACATGCACTTGCATGTGCTGTTGCCTTGTAGTTGAAAAATGTCTAAATGTCTAATGTTTCTGTTGCATAGTCTTTGTTTTATTCTATGAAGAAGGAACACAGCCTTGTAATTGGTCCCTGAGGACATGCACACCAAGTGGGGCAGCCATAGTTGGCTCTTACATTCTCACTGCCATCACTGACTTCTATAAATGGGGCATAATTTGACCTATCCTTATGAAAGATAGCACATCTTGGAAGCTTTGGATTCTTGGAGTATTATGACAGAGTTGATTTATTTTCTTAGAAACCCAATTCCCCAGAGATTTAAGCCTGTCTTCTAAAATGTTCTACATGCCAAAAAACAAGAGGGACACATTTGTTCTTAATTTCTAATTGTGTTCTCATAATACTGAAAGACAGTAGTAGCTGTTTTGGATTCAATTGGTACAATGTGCCTGGTAGAATATTTTATAGTTTATGTCAATATTATTTTATATTAGCAATCCCACTTGAGCGTAACAATATAAAATCACTGCGTTGGTGTTTCTGAATCTTCACTCGCAACCTGTTAACGGGCTGTGAAGTCAACTTAATGGGCTTTGACAATTTTTTTTTTTTGAGAAAACATTACAACAGAAATAGCAGAGTGAATGTGTTCCATGTAGTAAGGTAAATATTGCCTCATTAAACTTTGTTTCAGGTGTTTGTGTTTGTATTGAGTTACAATGTCAGTGTATGGACCTTGGGCAAAAAATAAAATCACAGGAAAATCACTGCAGTAGGCTGTGCATGCTATTAGGCTATTTCAACATTAATTTGTGACATCCTTTCTTTTGAAAATACCTAATTCAAGGTTAAAGTTTAGAAATGTTTGTTAGTAAACTCTGTTCTTACCGACCTTCTAAGAAGTAGTTCAGGCTGGGGCTGCTGACAGAGTATACATAATACATCAAAGAGTACAGGTTAGGAGACTGTCCTGCAGTAGTCAGCTTATCTTAACACTTTTGTTTTAGGATGGGCAAAAACTAATATAACTCATCATTACAGAAATCAATTTTGTTTAGAGCTCTTTATATTTTGGTTTTGAAGTTTTTCTGCTAAATTCAGCCATAACGATAGAATTTATATAAGAGAATATATTTGGAATACATCTAGCACAAGATGCAATTTTCCAAAGCTGCTTCCTTTTAAATTCATTTTCTCTAAAATGCTATCTAGTTAACTAACTGCTAAGGACTTCTTTAATTTTTTCTCCTTTTGGCCCTCTCCTGCAGAGGCTAGAACCAACCCAATAGATTAAATTGCAATTCTGTGAATGTCTGAAAGAGTGTAAATAATATACAGTCCAAAAGTCCTCAGAAAAAACAGATATGCTTGCTTAGGCTCAAGATAAAAAATAACATCTCCATTTCTTGTTCACTTGGTCCAGAAATTCCTAACAATTTACAGTGACAGAGTTTGTAGCTCTGGCTGTCTCAACTGATGTTAAATATACCAGCTTGTTTATATTTTCAAAACAGTTACAGGCTTGACAATATCAAACACCAACTGGCATGCATGAAACTGATTGACCTCAATTTTTGGGGTCCATTCATTATACCTGGAGATTTTTTTAAGTAAAAAAATATTGGGGAAAGTTCCCACTGATCTACTAATTTGGCCGCATTACTTAATGATTGTCTTTTTTCCCCCTTGATGTTGAGATTTTGGAGCATTAGTCAGGACTTTGTTTTTCTTACATAGTGGATAGAGAAGATGATAAATGCTGCCAAAAAATGTTCACAAGTAAGCCCCAGGCACAATAGACTTAACTATCCCTTGGCTGGACAGAGAGAACTCTTGGGGCAAGACTATGAGATGAGGGGAGTCCTAAATCCTGAACCATGAAGAACCATGGCTCTTAAAAATGTTCTTAATCCTATACAATACCCACTCAGGTCCACGATTAAAAGATAAGAACCATTAAAAAAGAAAGACAATTAAAAAATTGAAGTTAAATTAAGAGAGTATTAAATCTCAATTTTAGTACTGAACTCTGGTAGGTGATTAATGTTCATTGAAAATACTTTAGTTACTGATAACTGTTGAGAAAGCTAGAAAGGGATTTGTGGATTAAAAAATAATTATGACTTACAAATATTATAAAATTATTTGAGTCATAACTAATAAGTCAGTAAAGTGCAGACCAGCATGGTTGTTTTTAATATAATTATGCAGGTTTTTCTTAAGTGCCATGACTCTAGAAATTGTAACTGAATTTTAATCAGTT